GAGGTGATTTGCCTCACACCACTTCGCTAGGCCCTCACCTCACACCGGTAGGCCCTTTCGTCATTCCCGGAGATGAGTCCTACCACCACTGTGTCGTCAGCAAACTTCACAATGGAGTTAGTGGGGTATCTGGCCGTGCAGTCCGCGGTGTAGAGGGAGTAGAGAAGGGGGCTCAGCACACATCCCTGGGGGGCCCCTATGTTCAGTGTGAGTGTACTGGAGTACACATCCCCTACTCTCACTGTCTGTGGTCTTGCAGTCAGGAAGTTGTACACCCATTTGCAGAAAGATGTACTGAAACCTAAGTCCTGGAGCTTATCCGAGAGGGTGTCGGGGATTATGGTGTTAAATGCTGAGCTATAGTCTATGAACAGCATTCTCACATAATTACCACATCCCTCATCAAGATGGCTCAGTGTGGAGTGCAGGACCTGTGCGATGGCATCTCCAGAGGATCTGTTTGTCCGGTATGCAAATTGTAGCTGGTCAAAGTTGGAGGGAAGGAAGGAGCTGATGAAGGGTTTCATGAGTCTCTCGAAGCACTTCATCACCACAGACGTCAGGGCTACCGGGCGATAGTCATTGAGGCTAGCTGGGCGAGTGTTCTTTGGTATTGGGACAATCACTGATGTTTTAAAGCAAGTAGGGACCACCCGCTGGGCCAGGGAGGCATTGAAGATGTTGGTGAAAACCATGGCCAGCTGATCTGCACATACCTTCAGTACAAGTCCCAGGATGCCATCTAGTCCTGCTGCCTTCCTTTAGTTAGTGGCCCTCAGAGCTCTCCTCACGTCATGCTCAGAGAGTGTCAGTGGTGCCGGTTCAGCAGCGGGGGCGGATGCAGCTCTCTGATTAGCCGCCATAGTAGGCGCCTCGAAATGCGCGAAGAAAGCATTGAGGTCATCAGCTAGTTCCGGTTTCGTGCATCTGACAGGCATTATTTCAGGCGATGATGGGGGCCTGATCATAATTCAATCACCTTTCTTTGCCAATCTATGGAATGCTTTGAAGCATAGGAAGGGGCACCGTCCTGAATGCATATCATGGAGAGGGGCACTGTCCTGCAAGAATATCATGGGCTGGGGCACTATCCTGCAAGAATATCATGGGGTGGGGCACTGTCCTGCAAGAATATCATGGGGTGGGGCACTGTCCTGCAAGAATATCATGGGGTGGGGCACTGTCCTGCATGCACATCATATCCTTTTTGAAAGCTGCTGACTTCTTCCTGTACCAGTGTTTGAAGAAGGTATCATCCAGAAATTGGCATTAGATCTTGTGGTGAAATTTTATTCCAACTGGAATAAAATTTCCAACAAGTTCATCACTGATAACTGCAGCCCACACCATCACTCCTCCAGAAGAAGGTGACCATCCATGGGCCCATCCATCTGCTCCATCAAGAGTCACTCTCATGTCATCTGTTCACAAAACCTTTATAAAATCACTCTTGAGGTGTGTCTGTGTACATCCTTGACATTTTAGCTTGCATGCCTTATTGAATAGAGGTTGTGTTTCTGCCTTTGTGACCCTAGTGATGTCATGTAACACACTGCACACTATGCTTCCAGAGAATCCATTCAGATTGCAGTTTTTCAAAATGGTGGCATTTGATTCTAAAGAGTCTCCCCTTTAATTTCACACATAGCTATGGCAGTTAATTTGTGTCGTCTTTTCGCTACATGTTTCTTCCGTCCTCTTTGTTGGCCACAAAACACTCGATTGTACAGTAATCATGTTTTAAAGGTTTAGGAATTTTGATTGTTTTGCATCTCTCTGACTGGCACTTTACAATTTTGTTTTTTTCTGTTCTCTGCAAAGTCCTTTTCTGGCCCATTTTAATAGTCATAAAAATATGCTTAATAATTCCGCACAGGAAAGTATCTATGTTTTCCTGTTTTTCTCCAAACAGAAAGTACTCAAACACAATACTGATCATGTACTGCTTTTTAGACAGTTCATTCTTAATTGCAGATTCATCTGGATTGAAAATATTGGTCGGAAGAATAGATGCAAATAAAATACACACTTGCCTAATAATTCTGCACACAGTGTATGTTCTGTTTGCGATTGTGTCTTTGTACTATAAACATGATTGTTTTGGTTCAGTCTCAGTATTGTTGCATGCATTCCATTTGGCTTCCATGGGTGTAAGTTCTGTTATTGAGTTTGGCAGGATTTTTTTTCCCCATCCCTTTCTTCCTTTCCTCCTGCTTCACACTCGTCATTTGGCCGGCAGCCATCAGTGAATGCAACCACAGCTGAGCTGCTGAGAAGACAGGAGGAGCTGGAGAGGAAGGCCCGCGATCTGGAACGGAGGGAGCGGGAGCTGGACTCCCATGCCCTTGGGCCTGGAGCAAGTAAGTGATGCAGGAAAGCCAGCCCATATAGATCTGGGGGTCTGGTGCCATCTAATGGAAAGAGATATGGAGACATAATTTTGAGATGTATTTTGGAGTCTTCTGCATAGGGTTATGATTGCTCCTCAAATAATGAATTTAGATTCATCAGCCAATCACATTTTGAGTCAAGAGAACAGTCAGCTCAGGCAATTGAACCTGATGTGCCTGGATGGGTCTTCACGCTCTCTTTTTCGCTTGCCCTCAGCACGGCAGAATAACTGGCCACCCCTGCCCTCCTTTTGCCCCGTGGGGCCGTGCTTCTACCAGGACATCGCAATTGAGATCAGTCAGCAATTCCAGCGCACTGTCACTGTCATGTACTACTATTGGATCTGTGAGTGCCGATCTGGGCAGGGTGGCCTGAAGGAGAGCTGTGGATTTGTTGAGTTCCAAATGTTTTGCTTATTTCGGACACTGGATAAGGACAGGGGGATAACCCAGAAGAGCTTGTATTTGGTCTGAGTCCTGCACTTTGCAGCCTATAGTTTTTGCCTTGTCCTCACTCAGTCTGCTGTAGCCTGTCATTCCTCCTTGTCTCTCCATCTGTCACAGTCACAGCCTGTATCCTGCTCTTCAACCTCATCTGCTGCCTGGCCCAGTTCTGTGTTGACATGTCGGCTGGTGTGGGGCTAGGCCTGGCCATCCTCTGGGTGATCCTCTTCACTCCCTGCTCATTCGTCTGTTGGTACAGACCTGTGTACAAAGCCTTCAGGTATAGGCCATTAAACCTGCACAAATCACAAATGGGGGGAGGTGTTATGCATGTAATAGCAAGGATGGGCACGGTATAAAGAATGAAGTTTAGCTTTATTGATCCCAGGGGAAAATACTGGATTGATGTGTGCTTCGTGAGTTTTGAATCCATGAGCTTTGCATTGTTAGCACAGTGCTATAGTTGTTGAGCTGCATGGGAGCTGAGAATTTGCTGTGCTTCAACAATAAATGATGTAAAATCTATGAATGAATTAATCTGAATTGCATGTATAAATGTATCAGTTATATATAAAATAGTTCAATGTAATATTGAGCACTGCATGGTGTTTTAACATTACATGAAACTATAAAATAGTATGATAAATCCTTACACTCATATTCTCCTTCTTTTGTAGGAGTGACAGCTCCTTCAATTTCTTTGCGTTCTTCTTCATCTTTTTTGTGCAAATTGTTCTGTATGTCTTGATGACTATTGGCATTCCAAATTGGGGATTCAGGTATGCTTCATCAGAGCCACGGTTGCCCCTCCCATTCCCGTTCTCACCCAGTTCCTCTCTCCCAGGCTTTGCACACTCTGTCCTTTGCCATTCTTACCTGATTCCCCCCCCCCATTTCCTGTTTCCATTTTCATCCTGCTCCCTTCTACCTGGCTTTGTAAGCCCGTGTTCCTTTCTCACCCAGTTTCCCCTTCGATGGCTGTTCCTCCCTCCTTTTTTGCCATTCTGTTCACGTTCTGTTCATACCTGGTTTCCTTCTCCCTAGTTTTATACCCCAAGTTCCTATCACCATTCTCACCCAGCTCACCTCTCCCTGTCTGTGCTCCCCTCCCCACAGTGGCTGGATCGTCAGCCTGGCTACCCTGAAGAAGGACATGGCTGTGGGTGTGATCATGCTTTTGGGTGCCGCCTGCTTCACCGCCCAGGCTGTCATCGGCGGCGTCCTGCTGAAGAAGGTAATAGTGCCAGAGTGCTGATCTGCCTTTGCGTTCATATACCAGTGGGTGAAAACTCAGTCTGTCCTTCCCTCTGCCCTGTGTCCTTTCTGCTCTCTCTCTGCTCCAGGTCCACTCTTTGTACCGGCAGACGGGTGCCAGTTTCCAGAAGGCACAGGCAGAGTTTGCTACAGGGGTGATGTCCAACCAGGCAGTACGGCAGGCCACTGCCACTGCCGCTGCCTCTGCTGCCCAGGGGGCCTTTACGGGGCCGCGATAAGGAACAGTGATATTGGAGAGGGGTGGCAGTTAGGGTACATTGGAGACGTTAATTACTCTGGTCCTGGGGTAATTGCACAGCGGAACATCTATTGCACGTTTTTTTACGTATTTTGCATCACTCTGTTACATATGCTAAATGTAAAAAAAAAAAAAAAAAAGTTAAATTAAAATAATAATTAAGCACTGGGAACAGAAAGTGAGAGTAATAGCCTTAGGGTGATTGATTTCATTACAGTATTACATAGAATAACCTACTACATGTTTCAGACTGATAAATAGAGGGTGATTAGATCAGAACAGAGAAACTGTTGTGTTTGGAGTGGAGATTTCTCTACATCATCTACAGATGTGGTATAAGGATTAACTGCACCACTCCAAATTTACTTAACTGTACTCTACATGTTGCTAGTGAACCGTGTCATTCTGTAACCAACTGCAAATGTTAATTTAAAACTGTGCCAAATACCAAAATTTGTAACAGTGCCATTGCTAATCTGATGTCACATTTTTACTTTGGTGTTCAAAATTGTTGGCAGTTTTCTTATTAAATAAATTCATGTGCCTTGCACCCTTTTTAATTTTATTTACATTCTTTCAGCTGTCATACATGCCTTTCAGATGCATAATACAGTGAGCACACAGTAAGCTCAAGTTTTGTTGCGCCGATTGACAGAACAGTAGACGAGTGTCCCGAAGTCGGCACTGTCCTATCTTTTCAATCCAGCTAGTTATAAAACTTACCGACACGGATTAATTAGTGGAATAGATGTGGAAAACAAAAGATTGATTTGCTGGCTAGATTTAATATATATTTTCTTAAATGTCACGGGGCCGGTACTTTGAACGGACAGCAGCTGTTTATCTTGTGTTGCAAAATAATATGTTGCGTCCTGTTTTCAAACAATATTGGATGCAATTTGTCGGGATTTTTGGATTGCCCAATCAGCAAAGTTTGTGGTTGGGGATCTGGGTGGAAGAAACGTCCCTTATTTTTTGAGATGATGGTGAATGAGCCGCTGAAAGCCCTCGCCCTTCACTACATAGAATGGCTAATTGTCCAATGCAATCATTTTAATAGCTCTGTCTTCCACTCTGTGTCAGGGGATCATCCCATGAGAGCTAAGCACCTTTTAATATTTAGGTTCTAGAATCCCAGTTATGGACTACAGCTCCAATGACACTTAAAACTAATTTATTCAATCTCCAGCATAAAAACATTCAGCAGGTAAGCTTACAAACAAAAAAACCCACAATGCTACCACATGATAATAGGAAATTACAATATCAAAAATTATCTTAAAAATAATCAATAACTAAAAACCCAAAAAGGATATCCCAATATGTCCCATTATTTGGGTCGATCGTCAGCAGGTCAAGAATTTCAGTGCTGAAATATGTTATATGACTGTCATACCAGGCATATGCAGATGTAAAAAAATATAAACTAATTAGAAAATCAATAAAAAAGACACCAAAGCAACCAAAATTAAGACCAAAATAACTTAACCTATTTGCTGAAAATATAAAAATGGGCTCAAAATGTGATATTGCTTCCTTGTAAAAAAAAAAAAAAAAGCACAATGGCAAGCATCAATAGCAAAAGGAAAATATCAGTTCTCAAAAGAAGCCTTAAAGCACCTTATTCAGGAGATTGTCTAAAATATACTGTATTTTGATAAATGAATTACTGCAATGTCATGCAGCATAGTATCCATATGAAAAACAGCACAGCAGCATTCAGGGGGAAATCTTAGAGCTCCTAAGGACTTGTGTAGGCACCAGAATCATCTTTCACATGCCCAAAGCACACTCTACAGCAGTGTGTGCCGTTTGGTATATGGTGTTTTACCTCACCTCAGCCACGGTTTGGGGATCCAACACTAAACTCAAGAGATATTCGCTAAGCGGATACTTGCTGTCTCACAATAACCAGCCACCAACAAACGCACCATCCTTTGCCATCTGACACACTTCAAAAATGAACCAGATATAAGCATCGTGTACTCCCAGGCCACTAGGCAACAGTGTCTGTAAAATGCCCTTGATGGTTGCATATCACCTGGACATTTGGCCTAGTGCCAATAACCCTTTTCAACACATGGGATTCAAGGGGCTGCAAATATGAATAGGGTTGAGGGTTCCATCCATCCATCCATCATCTGCCGCTTGTCCGGGGTTCGGGTCGCGGGGGCAGCAGCTTCAGGAGAGGCACCCAGACCTCCCTCTCCCCAGCTACCTCTACTAGCTCCTCAGGGCGGACACCGAGGCGTTCCCAGGCTAGCCGAGAGATATAATCCCTCCAGCGATTCCTGGGTCTGCCCCGGGGCCTCCTCCCTATAGGACATGCACAGAAAACCTCTCCGTGTAGCCGCCC